TTCACGACCTTTCACCTACGTTTTTAGTTCGGTTAAACAATTACAAGCTACTTTAATTCATTTCCTACTGTACATTAAACGCGCAATAACAACGCACATTTAACTACGAATTCCGTAAGAATCTTGGGTTGGGAAACCTTTGCCTCTGGGTGGCCCACAACGAAGCCCTACCTATATGTTAATCTAAGCTGCCGTATTTCGGAGTAGACACTTTTTTCCTATTGGACAGACTGTAAAGTGTGGTCATGAAAAATCGATAAATGAGGATTCAAGTAACCAATAAAGGGCATACTTATAACATGTTTTTGACTGACCATGGTCAATCTGAAGAAACCTATAGTGTGCTTTTTTCACAAATCTGTCACCGATTCGATTGTACTCATAAAAACATCTCGAAGGCATCCATGCACACTCACCTGATTCGTTGACGAAGAACACGAGTACTGTCAAATGTGATGGAAGATATGAATTTAACGAACCACCTTGAATGACCTTGAATTTTTAATTAAACTATGCAGTCGCCTGCATAAACAGCAAGCCAACCACATGGTAGGTCTCTTCGTACATGCCAAAGCATATAATCACTCTCATTTGTGTACTCTCATGACGTAAAGTGTGAACTGACTTGCACTTTTACGCCGGCGTTTGCACATCTAGTCACCTGTGGCCTTTTTCTACATCTACAGTTTGACTTACTGCCGGGCCCTATCCAATGGGGGTACTGCAACAAGCGAACAGCTGACCTGTGGTCCCTTCAAATTGCTCTCACCAAGCAGCCACTCGAGCCCACTGGGTCTGGCCCACTCCTACGTCAAGTGTGAGCCTCAGCTGGAATATATTTTGCCCGGCCAGCCGACTATTCGTGACCCGGAGGCTTCCTTCAAGCCCTCGTCGTGTGCCCGCTCAGAAGACTCTTCGCTGCACCTGGCGGATACAAGACCGTCTACTGTGGAGTCGGAGGGGACGCTACAACCTACTCCTAATTACAGGTCAGTATGCAGTTTCAGATGGTAGTGAATATCCTTACTAACAAAGGGAGATTACACTGAAAGTGATTCTCGAAACGTCTACCCTGATGTTGTTTTCATATATGTTTGTGTGTTTTCGACCACCTAAGTCCACCAAGTGCCCCAACAAGTTGGTACAAAAGGTGACAGCCCCAGGTAGAAGACTATAACGATAGCGGACGAACTTAGCGCAAACCAGCACTCTTAACCTTCGCCCGGGGTCAAGAGGACCAAACGGGACCCCGCGTTAGCCGCTTTCTTCAATGCAAGCCAGAAACACCGCCCAAATCAGTGCTAAGTGACAGTAGACTATGCGCGGGTACTACCGCACTATCTACCCTCACTCACCTTCAGTAGGTGTCAAAGACATGCTCAATAAGGCCGAGACGGCTACGGCTACTCCTTCTACTACTAGCTATCCAGCAATGTAGCCGCGCTTTAGTAGTACTGGTACTAACACTGGTGCTACCATTTGTCCGAGGTGACGCCGATTAAAGCCAATGCTGGGGCTTATACCCCCTTGATCTCAACAAGGAGTGTGAAGCTGGGTTTAAATTTTTCTGAGTTAGTACATGTTTGGAGCCCTGAGCACAGCAGAGTTTGTTTTAGTTTCCGCCCTCTCAACTTTATCCAACAGACTGTGTCCGCTTCTATTAGGTTCGGACTACGGCACTGCTGCTAGAAGTACGGGCCTATACTAAATTACTAATTCTGGTAATCATGGTTAGTAAGGCCAGTAAATAGTATACTATAATGCTGTCTGGGTGTGCATTTTAAGAACCCGACACGCCGTATGCACTCCCAGTCTGTATGAGGTAAAGCGTTTAGCTTATGGTTTAAATAGTGCGTTATTAAATAAAAGCGCAGGTCCTACCATGCCTTTATATCGTAAAGTTCGCCGTTTCTAGACTACCTATAGGCCTACTACTGTATCTATCTGTAGTAAGGGCTTTATAGAACGTCTACTCATATCCACTCGATCCCAGCGGGGAGTGTAAATCTGGGTTTATGCTATTCCGCGTAACTAAATGTTTGAGGCCCGGAGCACCTCAGGGCTTGCCTTGGTTTCCGCCCTCTCACCTCTATCCACCAAAAGCTGTGTTACATTTTACTAATTTTGGCCTACTTCACTGCTGCTAGAGGTAATATGCCACTGCTAATTCTATTAACCATACTTCCTAAGACCAGCGGATAGTATATTCTAATGATATATTCTTATTATTGTATCAATAGCTGACAGGCATCCTATTTATGCAACAAGCATAACGCATGAAGGAATATGAGCTTACGCGCGTCCTAAACCTCATGTGGGCTGATTTGCATACATTCATATACGATTCATATATGTATATGTTCACTGACACACAGGCCTCTTAAGAAATGTCATTTGAAGTTGAATACGTCTCTTTAGGACGGTATTAAATTTCATTCTGTTCATTCCTTACAGTTGCTCTCCATGCAGAGAGCACAGCTAAAATGCCAGACATGTGACTGAAAGATGTCGTACGGCTACGCGCATCTCAACTGCAAGGGTTTCGACCCACCAGTTGGCTCTTCAGCGCGTCCAATGTTCCAACCAAGCCTCCAATATTTAATTTTAAACTTGATTCCCAATCTATTACTTACAGAAAAACTGAAGTAAAAACTGCACATTTGACTTTTCAAGTTCCTTTCTGAAATGAAGGAGAACGTTTGAGTTGAATGTCATAAGATTCAGCGGGGTAACCTTACCTTGGTGCCACAGTGAACAGTA